TGGGTAATGGTGGATAGAGCAGTGGCCTTGGAATGTGGGAGACTAACATTTTATTCCTTCCTCAGATACTTGCTATCCCTATGGTCCAAGGCTAATGACTTAACTTCTCTCAGACTCAGTTTCCTCATCTGCAAAATGGAGATAGTCATACCCCCACCTCCCAGGGTTGTTGTGAGGGTGAAATGACATCAGAAATAAACACTTTCTGAATCTTAAAGCACTACATAAATCCTAACTATTATTATTATTATTAGTGGGTTCAATTAATACAAATGCATGATGACAAAATTTGTCTTACAAATTGGTGATATAACCTAACCATATTGAGACTCCAAAATACCCAAGCTGTGGGGAATAATGGTGAAGTGCCTAGCAAGCGACTACAGGACAAAGTTAGGGTGTTCCATAGATTTTCTTATGACATTCCTCTTTGCAGCAATTCCCCCACAGCCTGTGACCTGGTTTTCCTCCCACAGACACCTCTTTGATGTATGGCTATGCTCATTTCCCCAGTGGTGGACAGAAATTGGTTCATTCCTGGCAGCCTCCTCTATGAAAAAATCCCCAACTCCTGGGCAGCCTCTCTAGTGTGAGATGTGAATCCGGTATCAGGGACCACAAAAGCTGAGTTTGGCATTGGAAACAAAGAGTTTACATGCCTAGCTATTAACTTAGGAAGTAAGTAAAAGTAGCTGGAGTGTGAAGGAATCACATTCTTTATTTGGGCATCAAGGGATAACTATAGCACGAGGGCTTTTCCTCTGAACTCTTTCCCTCTCTCACCCTCCTTCTCTCCCACCCTTCCAGTCTCCATCATGCATGAACATACTAACCCTATCTCAAGTAGAAATAGAATTGTGGTTTGAGGCAATGGAATTTTGTGTGTGTGTGTGAAGATGTCTGAGCACAATTGTTACCACTTATATGAGACTTTCAGTCCTTCAGTGTGTGAACCATCCTCTCTGAAGACTATAACCATATGACTGGTTTCTTACTTATCAACCACCTACTGTGTTTCCAGTGCAGAGCTAAGGGGAACATCTGGAAAGAAAGGCCTGACCTTGAATAAATCACAAATCAACCATTAAGCATTTCTTAAGTCACAAATATGTGCCAGATATTATACTATGTTCCAGAGATACATATAAAAAGGAAAGCATTGGTTTCAAAGCTTTGGAGTTGACAGCTACATTACTAGTTACTTGCCCAGGGAAACATAGGCAGTGTGTCACAAAGCACTCAGGTCTTCCTAGTCCCCAGACCAGCTCTCCGTACAGCATATACCACAGAGGTATATTAATCTTCCCTGCTTAGAACCATATTATTCATGGGGCCATATATAAAAATAGCTCCCAAGTCACTATTGTCATTGCTGTCATGTCAACCTCTCTGTCCAAGTCACGTCAAGTGAAATCCACAAGCATTTATTGAGTGATTACTATGAGGTATGCTTTGACAAATATAGAAAACCCAGAATTGTTCCTCTTTTCTAAGAAATTCTGCCTGGGTTTCACTTCACAGTTTTGTTGGACTGGTAATGTGCCAGTGTGAAAAAACGTGAATGAGCTTGCCTCGAGGGCTCTTTCCATCCTTCAATCTCACACTCTTCTACCTCACATTCTCTTATTTTGCCTCCTCTTTTGCCTTTGGTTTTTCTTCCCTACCTCACTTTGGACTCTTTAAACTTGAAGTCCAATGCACTCTACACATCTCAGCATATTGGATTGATGCCTGTTCGTCTTCACAACAGTCATCTTCTAAGTGAAAACTGGTGAAGCCGAACAGTTATTAAGTGCCTACTCTATGTCAGACATCACGCTAAATGCTGGGGATATAAAAACACTCCCTGTCTTAATCTTAATCTTAGTGCCTTCTCTCTGCTGATTATCTCCAATTTCCTGTGTATACACATTTGTGTGGATGTGTATATACATATGAATATATATATGTGTGTGTGTGTATGTTTGTATGCATACATATGCATACAGGAAATTGGATATACGGGTATGTTCATACACATATGTATATTGTTTGTACATAGGTATTTGTATGTTGTCTCCCTCATTAGACTAGGAGCTCCTTGAAAGCAGAGACTCTTTTTGTATCCCCAGAGCTTAGCAGAGTGCCTGGCAATAGTAGGTGTTTAATAAATGCTTGTACAATGAGGGATTGCTCCAAAGAACTGGCAGTCTAATGGGGAAAACAACATGTGAACAGCTATGTACAAAACACTCTCCAGCTTGAACCTTCTCTCCTGGCAAAGAAATTTTATTTAAAAAATCACCTAACATGAAAATCTTGTCAAACAATGCTCTCTCCTCATGGTCCCTAATCTCTCTTCCTTGAGCAAAGAGTATACTCCATTTTTTCCTCTCCAAGACCTCTACTGATTTCTTCACAACTCAGTTGCAGTGTTACTGTGCATATGGTCTATTGGTTCTGCTATCTCACCTTGATAGTGTTTATAAAGGGCTTCTTAAATCTTTTTTTTTTTTTTGGTGAGGCAATTGGAGTTAAGTGACTTGCCCAGGGTCACACAGCTAGTAAGTGTCAAATGTTTCATCTGAGGCAGGATTTGAACTCAGGACCTCCTGACTCCAGGGCCGGTACTCTATCCATTGTGCCACCTAGATGCCCCTGGGTTTCTCAAATCTTAAAGCATCATAATAATGATAGCTATCACTAAGTCCCATCAAAGCTACTGCTTTGCTGAGAAAGCCTCCATTCCTTCTCGGTAAACATTCATGTATTTATTTCCCATGTAAAATATCACATCCTTATATTACTTTTTTGAATGTTAATTTTAACCTTTGGTGTTCCTTTGAAACATATTATGAGTAAAATATAATATGCAATATAAATGAAGAGCTGTTAGCTGCACCATGTGACAAAGAGTTTAAAGTGTTTCAACATATAACATCAGTCTAGTGGGTGCAATACATGTTTCCCATGCTACATCAGTATGTATTAAGTTAGAGCTGTAAACCAACCTAAATGCCTTGTACTCTTTACATTAATATAACACCAATAACCACTCCACATTCCAAATTATAAGTGGTGAAACTGGAATGCTGTCAAAGGATGGCCTTGCTGTACTGACGATTCAGTTGAGATTGCCTAATTGATATTTATCATGGACCCAGTCAGCAGTTTCATGATTATCTCCAGCTTTGTTCAATATCATGTGAGTAAGAGTGAAGACAATGCAAGGTGGGAGTGATCTAAGACTGATGCTTAGCAGGGCACGAGCAATGGTAGGATAAGGGGGCAAGGGCTGTAACAGAACAGGGCATCCTAAGCTGAACTGGTTTACCAAGTGGTCCAGATGGGGAAGGGAAGAGAATGAAGCCAGTGTAGAAGCGATGGCCTGACAAAGAACTTAGAGGTAGAGGGATTTGTCATAGTGCGGATGAAAAATAGGTCAAGACTTCTGTGGCAGAGGGACATAATGCCAACCTTTGTGCTCTCAGAAGCTGCTGCCGAAATCACCTCCCGTCAAGCAACTAGCAAACAACCTGGAAATTCTGAGACTCACAAGGGGGGTGCCAAAGCTGGCAATGTCCATGTTTGAGTATCACTGTTGGGTAGCCTGTGCTCAGGGACAGCCACGCAACACAGAAGAGGCAGCCAGGAACTTGAGGTCCAGGTTCAGGCTCATGGAGGCAAGCACATGTTTGCACCGCCATGTGCAAGGGCCACTAAAGATATTGGGGCTGGGAAATCCTCTCCCAGAGGGAACAAAGGGAGAAACTTGGAGGTCCAGAGGAGAGGCTTTCTGTGTTTTATGTGACTTGCTACATTTTCCCAACTTCCCTACATGGCCTACTGAGAGGACAAGAAAAGAGAATCCTTCAAGGAAGGCTGGAAGAGACTGCAAAGGCCCTCTAGTCCAAACTTCTCATTTTATAAGAGAGGAACCTGAGGTGGAGGGACATCAGATGACTTGCCCAAGGTAACACAAGTAATGTGTATCAAAGGTGAGATTTCAATGCAGATCCTCTGACTCCTGAGCCACTGTGCTACCACTCAGGATATATACTTCTTCATCTTCAACATAGCCCTCCAGGCATGGAAATTAATATGGAAGGGAAAGCTCCAGAGTGCCAGAGTGGTCAGCCCCACAAAGCCAATGTATATGTTAACCCCCAAGGTAGGTGATTGAGGACAGGATTCATTCTTTCTTTCTTTGCTTCCTTCCTTCTTTCTTTCCCTTCCTTCCTTCCTTTACCTTCCTTCCTTTCTACCTTCCTACCCTACTTCAATCCCTTTCTTCCTTCTTTCCTTTCTTTTTTCTTCCTCCCTTCCTTCTGTCTTTCCCTCATTCCTTCCTCCCTCCCCTTCTTCTCTTGTTCTTTCACTCCTTCCTTCCTCCTTACTTTCCTTCCCTTCTTTCTTCTTCCCTCACTCCCTTCCATCTTTCCTTTCTTCCTTCCTTCTTTCCTTCCTCCTCTCCCCCCTTTCCCACCCTCCCTAAATTTGCCCAGTATTTAGGATATAAGTGCATAATGATGTCTGTTAATGGATTAATTCAGGATGGTACATACTAAGTCTTTGGTAAATGTTGCAGCTTCTCCAGTCATTCAGAGTGATCTGCATAGGATTGGTGTTATTAAAACATTTAAAATTAAATTCAATTAAATCTAAACCTATTCTCTTGCAAAGGGTTTGGTGTATTACTTATTAGAATGACATCTAAATTTTTTATAGGTATAATCCAGGAAACATTAAAAAGCAGTATTATCCAATTAATGCACTGCAAGGAGGTCACATTCTCTACTCTCTTCGTCAAGTAGCCATTCTCTGAGGACCTTATCTCTCACTATTTTTCCCACCTGTAGCCCAGGCATGAACTGTCTCTCTTGGCTGGGAAACCTGATGGAATGGGGTGGGATTATTTCCTCACATTTCATAACAGTTCTTTAGGTTTAATCTGTTCTTGTGGAAACAGAGGATTCTTCAAATCAGAGACTGACAGATTTTATTAAAAAAAAATTCCACAATCTCATGCTTTCAAGAAACATATCTATAAGAACAATACAGGAAAGGCTGAAAAAAGCATACTATGCTTCAGGTGAAACAAAAAAAATGTATCATGCTATCAGACAAAGCAAAAATAAAATTGTACAGCATAAGCAAAGCTAGACAAGGAAACAGCATTATCCTTAAAGAAATCATAAATGACAAACCAATAATCCATATCAAACTCAAATTCTCCAAATGATTTCACATCTGAATTCATGAGGGGACATTGTCTATCACTTCAACTTGTGACCTGGGTCTCATCTTTCCCATTACCAAAGGAAGTTGAGATGGACTGTACATTGGGTTTCTCACACTTGTTGGAGGTTCATTGGATTCCCCATCTCAGACTTGTCTCCTACATAGAGAGGCCACTTATAGATAGGATTTGGATTACGGTTAGGTGTGCAACAAATGATCCCTCTGGCAAAAATGTGGTGGCTGCCGAGGAAGATGGCAACTGCCTTGGTGTCAGTCTTCTAGGTTGCTGAATTCCTTCACTGAAGATGAGTAACAGAAGTAACAGAAGAAGGAAAAGGTACTTCCGGTTGAGCTTGTGAAGTTCTCCCTGTGAAACAGATTCCTAGGTTAAGCTCACCCCATGATCCCCATGTCCATTTCTTCCTTCCTACCCTAATGGAAGACATAAAGAAAGAGAATGAAATCAAGGCTCAGAAATTAGTTACAAAGACACTGATTCTTCCTTCCTTCTGGTAAATTTCCCAAGGGCTCTGCTTTGCTCACAGCCTTGTGTCTGGACCATCTCAGTCCATGCCCCTTCAGCATGACTGCCCTCTGTAACCTACTCTCAAAAACCATGAGTGGTCCAGATTCACAGGATGTCAGAGTGTGACGGGCCCTCAGCAGCCAGCTAGCCCCATTCATGCATAAACGAGGGTCCCCTCCGTGACCGGCCAGCCAGCCCATGCTTGAAGACTTCTCATGGAAGGGAACCAACTCCGTGCCTCCCAACACTGCCCTTGTCACTGAAGATAGCTCTAGTCTCAGGAAATGTCGCCTCATGTCATGCCTAAATGTATCTCTTTGAAGCCTCTCCCTGCTGCTCTAGTTCTACAGAAGCAGTCTGCTTCCTCTTTTTCTTCTTGATGCACCTGTGACTCAGTGAATAAAGCGTTGAGCTTGAAATCAGAAAGACTTAAGTTCAAAGCCAGCCTCAGATATTTATTAGCTGTGTGACCTTAGGCAAGTCATTTAACCTCTGGCTGCCTCAGTTTCCTCAACTATCTAATGGGGATCATAATAGTGCCTACTTCACCCTCACAGGGCTGTGATGAAAATCGGTTGAGATAATATTAGTCAAGTGGCTTAGCACAATGCCTGCAGCATAGTATGTGTTTAACAAATGCATAGTTCCATTCCTTCCTCCTCCCTTTTCTACATAACAACTCCTGAAGACATCTATCATTTTCCTGCCATCTCCTTGACTCACCCATTCATGGTATTGCTCCTTCAGGTTAAACATTCAGGGTTCCTTCAACCCATCTTCCTACTGTAAACCCTTCAGACCCTTTGTCCCTCCTGGAATGTTCCCAGAACTGAATAGAAGGCTCCAGATGGGACTTGATGGAGGCCAGAGTAGAGCAGGATGAGCACCTACTTATTCTTGAAAACCATTCCCCTCTGACTGATTTTTATTTTATTTTCTCTCAAACACACAAGGAGAGGGTAAATGCAAACACCATTATCACAAATTCTGCATGCAAGTTTTCTGACCTGTGAGGAACTAGAAGGGATCGGAACAGCTGCCTTGCAATGGCTGAGCCTCACCCTGGGAAAAGCCAGCCTCATCATCGTGTTGTCTCCCCTGCCACCTAAGTCTCCATGTCTCTTTTATTGCAACTGAATGTCTCATTTGAATTTTTGGTGCCGTATTGCACTCATCTGAGCTTTCCAATCCACCAAAATCCGCCAGTCTTTCAGATGAGCTATTTGCTTCAGCCTGTAATGCTTCCAACTCCTCCTCTGACTCCTCATCCTCCTCCTTTAAGGAAAAGGAGGATGAGGAGTCAGAGGAGGAGTTGGAAGCATTTTAAGGTACATTTTAAAGGAATCTGCCTTCATAGTTGTCCAGAGTCAGCTTGTTCTCTCCACTTTCTTTTCAATTTAAGATTCTTCCATGACATTTATACAACTCGAGGTATATAAACACTTTTGCCATCCTTGGTCAAGTGGAGAAGGGAAAGAGAAGGATTATTTAGAAGTAAGCATTATTTTCCTCACTTTACAATTGAGGAAACTGAGGCTGGAAGTAGTTAAGTGGGAAGAAGGGAATAAGCATTTATATAATGCCTACTCCATTCCAGGCACAGTGCTAAGCACTTTACGAATATTATCTCAACTGACCCTCACAACAACCCCACAGGGGTAGGTGCACTTATTATTCCCATTTTGCAGTTGAGGAAACTGAGGAAAATAGAGGCTACTCAGCCAGTTACTCAGACAGTAAGCATCTGTGGATAGATTTGAATTCAAGTCTTCCTAATTCCAGGCCAAGTGTTCTATTCACTGCACCTCCTCATTATCTAGACACACTCTGTCCCTGGCCAGAAGCTTGTTAAAAAGAGATTTATTGTAACAGATCCCTAACTCCATTTTGTCCTATATTTGCTATTATATTTCTTTCCCCATACTACCACCCTTTGTGTTTCTTTGGCACATCCTGAACCTGAACATCTCTTTTGGTGCCTCCATCCCTTAATCAATTTACAATTAAAAAGAACCCATTGGTCTTGGAATATTGCCAGGAAGCCATTTCATTGCCTTTATAGGATCCAGTAAAGCATACAATAGAGACTTAATAAATGTTAATTAAATAGCTGATGAAGAAGGTACAGTATCCATTGGTCCAGTGTAAGTAGTTCTATTAAAAAAAAGTCTTTCTTTTGTAATAATTTAAGTGTCTTTTAAATATACCTTTTCCTACCTATCTGATCTTACCCAGAATCTCTGGGTTATATAGCTCAGAAGGAGAATGTGTGCATGAGTGTATGTATGTATATAAATATATACATATATGTGGATAGATATGGGTGTATACAAATATATGCACATATGTGTGTGCATCTACACAAATGCATGTGTATCATATATGTATATGTGGCTTACATACCTGTAATGTGTGTGTCATCTGTGGAATGCCCGTTGTATAATGACACTCTTGAATCAAATATTCACACTCTTGAATGGAGAAATAAACTGAAATGTACCTGTTTGTCTTTATGCTGTGTTGGCCTATTCATGTAGTGGATAGCAAGGACCCTGAAAATTCCTGCAACAAGTGTGTTGCTCTTATGTTTCATGCATAGTCTAGAAACTCAAGTATTTCCAGATGCCTTCTTCTTAACTAGATAACCCCTTCCAAAAGCTTCTTTTCTCTTCTTCATCCCTTGTCTTTGTTACCAGCAGTGCTGAATGTGCCAGCTGTGCCACCATCTGCTCCAGTTTCTTGCCCAAGGAAGAAATGTACAAAATATGGTGGATAAGCAAGAGGAATTAGAGGCCCCAAGGCAAAAATGAAATTTTAACTTTATCTCTGAGAGTTGAGGAGATGAGATCCATGCCTTGAAAATGACTCCACAAAGGCATATCTAATGTTTTAAAATAATCTAGTTAAAGTATGTAGGAAGAAATGGGAGATGTGTAGGGTAGCCTTGTATATCAAGAAGATGAATTTATCAAAGTAAATCCAGAAACCAAAAAGGGTAAGCATGGTACAGAACACCTGAGTCACAACTGAAGGAGAAAACAAAGTGATTTTTGTCACCAGAGTATACCCTGGACTACTTGGATGGAAAGAGAAGGTCAGGAACCATATTATAAGCTAAAAACCAAAGGCATAAAGAAGTAATGAGGAGTTTAAATTACCTGGCACATTCTGCCAAAAGAAGAGCAACTAATAATTTCTTGACTTTCCTTAATAATGACTTCAAAGAGTGAAGGGACCAATATGTAGATATTCTATTATGAATATTACTAAAAGGGAGTAATTGGCTGCTGTGTGGAAATGGTCAGAATTTGTTCACAGTGATCATACCATCTTAGAGTTTAGGATAAGAAGGCAAGAATTAGGCACAGTAGGACATGCACCCTAGGGTTGGGGAGTGAAGATTGCAAAATATTATGAGGAAGGATGATTTGAATCACAAAGACTAAAATTCTGCAAAAGGAAGATTATTTAGATGGGTTGTGCAATTCTCAAGAGTGAATTTTTGAGGTCAAAGAGGAACAATTCTGATGAGAAGGAAAAAGGGGGAGTTGTTTAAATAGACAAATGTGGATTCTCAGAAAATTCACCAACTTGGATTTTTAAAAAATATGCACAGAAGTAATATAGGATCAACACAAAAACACAGCATATAAGAATAAAGACAGATGCCTGGAAAACTAGAAGGAAGTATGGCAGAAATTAGACCAACATCTTACATTATATATCACAATAAATATAAAATAGATATGTGACTGAATATTAAAGATTGTACCATAAATAATTAGAAGATCATTAAATTGGGTTCCTTTCAAAACTATGTATAGGGGCTGAATTCATAAGAAAAGGGGGCACGAAAAAGACTATATAAAATAAAATAGATATTTTTCAACTACATAAAATTGAAAATGTGAAGAAAAGAAATCCAAATAGCCAATGGAGTGAACTGTTTGACTGGAAAATATTTTTGATCAAATATTTCCTACAAGGGTCAGATATTTAAGATACGTAGAAATATACAAAAGCCATTCCTCAAAAGCTATGTGGTCAAAAGACATGAAGTTCTCAAAAGAAGAAGCCATCTATTAACAACTATGTGACAGAATTTTCCAAATCACTATACAGAAATACAAATTAAAACAACTCTGAAGCTTCACCTCCTCTTCACCAAATTACAAAAGATAACAAAAGGATATTTGCATTTGGAGAGGTAGTGGAAAGAAGCTCCAAATTATTCCAAACATTCTTCAAAGGAATCTGGAATTACAGGAAGAAACTGAGTAAAATGTCTATAACTTTTGCCCCAGAGAGTCCACTGCTAGGTATATACCACAAAGAATGACAGAAAGGGCAGCTAGGTGGGCACCATAGTGAACTGCATGCTGGGCCTGGAATCAGGAAGACCTGAGTTCAAATATGGCCTCAGAGTTTAGTACCTATGTGACCCTGTGCAAGTCACTTAGCCTCTACTTGCCTCAGTTTTCTAATCCATTAAATGGGGGTAATAATAGCACTTACCCCTCAGGATTGCTATGAGGAAGAAATAAGAAAAAAATTGTAAACCACGTAGTACAGTGACTAGAACATTCTAGGTACCATATGAATGTTAGCTATTATTATTTATTAGGAAAAAAAAGACCTCACAGACACAAAAAAAAATTATTATAACATTTTTTGTAGTATCAAAGAACTGGAAACAAAGTAGATGTTAATCTTTAGGGGAATGGCTAGAAAAGCTGTGGTATATAAATATTATGGAATTGTGCTGTAAGAAAAATTAATAAATATACAGAAAAACATAGGAAGACATGAGCTGATACAATGTGAAGTAAGCAGTAGCAGGAAACCCATATGCAAAATTCCTATAAAATGTAAATGGAAAGAATAGAAATAAAACTTTTGAAAATGGAGGGTGCAAAATAACATTGAATGTCCTTGAGAACAAAGAAGAGATATGAGAAGCTACTCCTTGCTTTCTAGAGCTGGGGTATCTCTTTAGGAGAAACACTCCATATGATAAATCTTTTTTTATATAGTTTGTATGTATTTGATCTAGTTTCGCTTGGCTGTTTTTTCTTTTCATCATTTATCATTGAAGATAGTTCTCTTGGAGTGGGGCCAGACTCAATGGGAAAATGTATGTGATTGAAGAGCAAAATTTATCCCCAAAAAATGCATATTTTTTAAAAAGACATGAACATGTAAGTCCAAAAAATTTGAAACTGGTGATCTATTCTAAGTACAACAATAAGGGTGGTATTTTTAAGGCTATAGTGGGAAGGGGGGGAGATAAGGAACCAAAAATGGGTAGGACTGGGGAGGTGGGGACATGGGATGTTAACTAATGACAGGGAGAAGACTTTGTTGCTCAACTGTTAACTTGCTTGCCTTTTTTCTACAAATGGTAATTTTTAATGAGAACAAACTTAATAATAGAGAGATGAGACCTAAGATAGGAATCAGGGGGTATAGCTGCCCTGACTAAATACACATCACCTCATCCAGAGGAATTTCCTTTTCAGATCCTAAGATAACTGGAGGCACTGCAGGAGACCAATGAGATACCAGAATAGGTCATTCCAGATGAACTTTATTTCAATTTAATAACAGGATCATTGTCAATTAGGGAAATGTCATAGACCTAGATTTCACAACACATTTGACAAAGACCTCCATGGTCTCTTTCAAGGAAAGATGTAGAGCTATGGCTTTTTGATTGGCTAAGCTCAGAACTGGTAGAAAGCCTGGACTCAAAGCCTGATGATCAGTGGATCAGAGACAACATTTAGTGGAGCATGTCTGCAGTGGTATGGCATGGGGAACTATCCATAACTCTCTTCTGCTCAGTATTTCAATCAATGACTTGCATGAATCAGAGATAGAATGTTTCTCAAATCTAAAGGATGAAAGAAAACTGACAGAGAGAATTAACAGACAAGAAAGAAAAGTTGGGATCCATAAAGTGGGTAACAGGAAAGAACAAGGGATTGAACAGTGAATTAAATTTTAAAAAGACAAATGTAAAGTCCTATAGTGGGGTTGGGGACCTTAGGTAGACAAGAGTTTGTGTAAAAACAAGCTGATAGTTTTAGTGGAGATTAAACTCCTTAAGAGCCAACAATGTGACGTGGCAGCCAGACAGCTAAAGGAATCTTAGTATGTAGGAATAAAAGGACAATGTGCTGAAGGAGGACAGCAATGGCCCTGTTGAATGCTGTCCTGGAAAGAGCACAGCTGGACTATTGTGTTAGCATCTTTTCTGGAACTTGGAGTACGAGAGAGTTGCCTAGGATGTGGAGAGGTTAAGTGATTTGCCCAGGAACAAACAACCATTTTGTATCAGAAGTTGGACTTGACCCCAGGTCTTCTCCATCTACTAAGCCATGCTTCCTTTAAAACAACTATATCAGTAAAAAATATTTAAGGTTATGACTTTACCATCACTTAAAGTCTTCAATCCAAGGATATATGATCATTTCTTACTAATGTTGAACAGAGAAAATATGTTCTTATAAGGTTTGGATTAGCTGGAGTTCAAAGTGCCTTCCTACTCAGAGATTCTGTGTTTGTAGGATTTTCTTTTTCAAAAACAACACAATTATTAACATCAACCTCAATAACACCTTGTTTTATTACTTTGTGTTCTCTTCTTCCCATCCCTTTCCCTGTCACCTAATAATACACACCTGACTTTCTCTTCATCCATTTGGTGAAGACCACAAAACAGCTAATCGTCAGGATGGCTGCTAGAAGGATGCTCAAGGCAACAGGCCAGAAATTCCACTGGGGGGGCTTCTCAGGGACTACAGGAGGAGAAGAGTCAGCAAATCAAGGGGATGGAGGGAATTCAATTTCTCCATGGTGCAAGGGGAAGAATGTTTAGCAGGGACTTTGCCCTTGGACCCTTTACCATGCAGGGATGGAAGTGGGCAGGAATTAACAGAATCCCATGGCTTGGCCTTCAGGGAATGAGCCCAAGTAGCTTGGCTGAGACACTCACCAGGGTACACAGCTGGTGTCTCCAGCTGACTGTGATCTACCACACAGGCATAACCTGTCCCTGTGTCTCCTGGTGGGATCTCCAGGGAGATTCGGAGATAGAAGGTGTCATCAGAATTAGGCAGGGTGCCGCTGGAGCTCTCTTTCCCCCATATAGCACCCTCAATACCCTTCTTCCAGTGCAGCAGGATGGATCGTGGGTAGAAGCCTGTGGCTGTGCAGGAGAAGCTAATAGTGCCATTGGGGAAATCTCGGCGGGACACATACACTTCAGGTGGCACTGAAGGCAGAAGACGAGAGAGAAGCAAGACATCATGTCCAAAGTGAATTAGGATGCATTGGTCCCTTCATCCTCCCTCCCTCCCCTACTCCTTATTGACCAATCTTAGCCTTATCTTCCTCCAGCAGTGTCAGTTGCCTCTGTGTATACCACCCCCTAGTGTCTAATGCCCTGTACTGTGAGCAGCAGGAACACATTTTGGCTTATGTTTTTCTTGGTTATGTTATGTTATTTATGTTATGTTATGTTATGTTATGTTATGTTATGTTATGTTATGTTATGCTATGCTATGCTATGCTATGCTATGCTATGCTATGCTATGCTATGCTATGCTATGTTATGCTATGCTATGCTATGCTATGCTATGCTATGTTATGTTATGTTATGCTATGCTATGCTATGCTATGCTATGCTATGCTATGCTATGCTATGCTATGCTATGCTGTGTTGTGTTGTGTTGTGTTATGTTATGTTATGTTATGTTATGTTATGTTATGTTATGTTATGTTATGTTATGTTATGTTATGTTATGTTGTCATTTTGGTTGTTTATGAAGCTGAGCCTGGAAAGCAATGCCTGGGAAGGAAGGGAGTTTCCTTTCATTAAAGTCCCCAGAAAAAGATGGGACAATCACTTATCAGGTTTATTTTCTGTTTGACATTAGCATTTTATTCTCTAACATTTCCACATCACATTAATTTATCAGTGTGAGCAAAGTGTGTAACCATATCAGGACAGTTTATTTTATCATATTATATAACCATGATGATAACTTTACTCCCTTTTTGTCTTAAAACTGCAGTTATTTTCTTATACAGATGGTATATTATTGTTTTGGAAAGTTTAACTTCTGTTTCTTTTATTTTTACATGCATATCTATATTTTAATGTTTTATTATATGCTTTGTTTTTACATAATAAACATTTAAAGGTTACTCCTACTCTGAGAGAGGTCTTTTATAACTAAACAAAACAGTGCAGTAAAACAGTCACCTCATCTATGAATGCCTGCAAGAATTCACATCTGCAGCTCTGCCAACTGTCTTTTTTAAATTAACAGAAATCTATTTAACATCTCTCCCCCTTATGTCCTATTAGAAAAGAAAAACATATTTCTTGTAGCAAACACATACAGTCAGGCAAAAAAAAAATTCCCTCAGTGGCTGTGTACAAATATATTATATATATTCACACACACACACACATATACACATGTCTCACTCCATACCTGACATGTCCCATCGCCTCAGGGTTGGTAAAGGAATGTGTATTGGGCATATTGTAGAAGACAGGCTTTTTCACACACAAATAACATTCTTACCAGCTTGGAAATTCAGTGATTTTCTATTTCTATACAAGCAGGAGACATCTAAACCAACTGCAAGTGGGGATAAGCAGCAAATGCTATGAGAAGTTCTTCAGACCACAATCTTCTTTTATATTTCAATACTTGTATAACTGAGGTTAAATATTATTAATGATAGATAAAATTTATATTATACTCTCTATGTGCCAGGCACAGTGCTAAGCACTTTACAAATATTATCTCATTGAGCCTCACAACAATCCTGAAAGACAGATGCTATTATTATGCCCATTTAACAGATGAGGAAAATAAGGCAAACAAAGGTCAAGTGATTTACCCTGAGTCACCTGGCTTGTAAGTCTCAGAGAATGGATTCAAACTCTTCCTGACTCCAGGCCAAGTGGTCTATCCATGGCACCACCCAGGTGCTCAATCTAGCAGCCATACTCAGACTCTCCATTAAATTTTAGACACAATATTGTTTTCACAATATTCTGGGACCCAAAGAATTCTTCACAGTAACCCAATAATGATTCTATCAGAGCTTACCTAGACTGGGCCATTCCCAACACACCTAAGGTATGTCCCCAGGTCTGTGTTTCAAGCTTCACCTGCTGGGTAGGACAAGTCAGAACCTACGTTTCTCTGCTGTCATATTGTATCAGCAGTTCCTCTCCTGTGGGACAAAAACACCAAGAAACCTTCTCCAAGGGATTTATTCTATTACATGATTTGCTACAGTGACTCGGGTCAAAGCACCATGAGGCCATATGATGCAGTAGAAAGGGCTCAACTGGGAGTTCATGAGAAATCCTGGATCTGGTCTTTACTTCTCTTGTGAGTTTAAGCAAGTCCCTTAACATCGCTGGGGCATAATTTCCTCAGCTGTAAAGAGAATTGGACTAAATTGATGAGCTATGTAAAACAGAAAGGGACTTAGGACTCACATTTTATAGATGAGGAACCTAAGGACCAGAGAAATTGGACAACGGTTCTGGAATTCAGTACTACGTTCTTTCCACTGCAGATATTTTCTATAGACAAAATAAACAATGTCTCACAAATATGTACAACTTTTCAAATAGATGTACTAATTGTTGTCACAAAATTTAAAAATCCATTCAAAAGCACTAATAAGGGGTCAACTAGGTGGCGCAGTGGATAGAGCACCAACCCTGCAGTCAGGAGGACCTGAGTTCAAATCCAGCCTCAGGACAAACACTTGACACTTACTAGCTGTGTGACCCTTGGCAAGTCACTTAACCCCAAGTGCCTGGGAAAAAAAAACACTAATGACTTCATAGGAGCATTTTGATATGATGCTTCAAAGAACAATGGGAATAAAGGATAACATTAGGAAAATATGTAAGTGGGAAAGATGATGGTCTGGTCCATAGAAAGTGGTAGAAGTCATAGGCAGCTGGTCAGAGTGCTCCATTTGTATGCCCTCAATGTTGAAAGCAAAAAATGAAAATGCAACAAATTTATCTTAGAGGCCTCATTTCCAAGATATAAAAGGAACTGACTCAAATGTGTCCAGTAAGAGCCAGTTCCCAATTGATAAATGATCAAAGGCAGTTGTCAAAGGAAGAAAGACAGTCTATCTACAGCCACATAAAAAAAAAAGTCAAAAAATTTAATAATGAGAAAGGCAAATTGCAGCAATTCTGAGGTTTTACCTCACACTCATCAGATTGGTAAACATGACCAAAAAAATGGCAAATGTTGGAGGGGGTGCAGTGAAATGGTTGATGCACCTGCAGATAAGTACAACCATTCTGGAAAGCATTTTGGAATTAAGTACTAAAGGTTACTCTGCACCTAAAAAAAATAAAGAAATAGGAAATGGGTCTGATATGTGCAAAAATACTTAGAGCAGCTTTTTTTGTAGGCAACTAAAGGGATACCCATCAGCTGGGGAGAGGCTGAACACATTGTTGCATATGAACTGATGGAATATTATTGTGCTGAAATAAATGAGGAAACCCATGATTTCATAAAAAGAGAAACACTTGTAGGAATTGATGAAAAATAAAGAAAAACCACAAGAACAATTTATACTGTGACATCAGTTTTATAAAAATAAAGCCTTTTGAATGAATACTTTGAAAATGAAGACTTATAAATGCTGAAAGAATGAAATGAGCAGAATTGGGAGAATAACTTATACAATAGCAACAATACAGTTCAGACAAACAACTTTGACAGCTTTAAGGACTACGATCAACTCTGCAACAATCCAGGACTCCACAGGACTGATGACAGAGCGTGTTACCCACATTCTGACTGATAGGAAATAGATTCAGGTTGCAGATGAGACTGTTTTTAAAACACAACTAATGAGAGAATTTGTTTTGCTTGACTGTGTATTTGCTACAAGGAATTTATTTTTCTTTTCTCCTACCTTGGCAAGAGATGAGAGAGAGAGAAATGTATTTCTTTTCATTAAAAAATAGAACCCTATTTTAAAAAGGAGAGAAAGCCAAGTAAAACAGATGTTGTATTTCTCCCTGAAATCAAAACCTTTCAGTCCTCTGAAAATATATTTATGTTAATTAACAAACCAAACATTAATCTTAAAAAGTGGAATCAAGGAAGGACCACAGCATATGGGGCAGACCTTCTATCACAATTTTATGGGAGGACAGAGACAAGAATTGCTGAGAATGACAATGATGGAGGAAGTATGATCTGCATCATTGGAGGTGAAATCCATGTGGAGAGGACCACAGATGCATTTGAATATTTTTTTTCCAGTCAAGGGCTGCTAATAGCACAACTTTAATCTGTGGAATACTGAAGTGCACAAAATTAAAATAAAAAATAATCCTTATACTCAAAAAAAATTGAGGTGGGACACTGCCTTAAAGGATCTACAGTGAGCTCCATAGTGTACTGAGGCATGGGAATAGAACTTTCATCATCTGAATAAATGAATAAAGATAACTCCTCACATTTCTCCTATGTGTATTGTTGTGATGTTAGAGAGAGCTGCGTCCCAGGTCTTCTACCTCCTAATTCCAATGCTCCAGCTACAAAGATGGAGGAAATGGTTTGGTAAAGGATGGGAGGGGTGGGGAATGTACTCACGATTCTCTTTCATGCTTGAATTCTGAAGGATTTTCTGCATGGCTCCAACACAATATTTCTGATTGTAAAGTTTTCTCATTTCAGTCGAGAAAGCATTTTCCAAAATTAATTTGAAGCTGTGAGCGCTAGGATTCAGAACCACCCAGTGTCCTTCTAGCTTGTCTATCTGGATCAAATCTTCTCCATCCAGGCCATACTTTATGAGGCTGCTCAACTGGATATTGCCATCTAATTCACAATCAAAATGAATCTGCAATGTGTGATTCCCTGTGGGGAGGAAAAACATGGGATACTCTGAGAGAAAATTGGGTGTGGAGAAATTGATGGAGAGAAACTGAGTTGTGGATCCTGGAAGAAAAAAAGTATTTTTTGTGAACTTCAGAGGTAACTTGCATGTGAGGTAGAACAACCCTGCTATCTAAAAGGGAGCGTGATTCTCCAAGCCTAGGAAGAATCCAAGCAAAGATAGGAAAGGGAGCTGTTAAAGGACAGAGATTAGGAGTCAAGAATAATTCAGTCTTTTTATTGATTCCCATTTATCCTGTCCTACTGCACTCTTTCCGAATCCATATGTAGTCTTTTCTTTTATATATGGACTATAGAATAAGCACATTTCTGTGATTTAGAATCAATAATAATGAGGGATAAAAATTTTTAAAAGTACAAATCAGGAGCAGGTGCCAAGAAGAGGAAGGGAACAAGGAAAAAGAGGATGAGGAAGAGAAGGAAGGGCAGAAATAGGAGTAAGAGGAGGAGGAGGAGAAAGAGAATGAGGAGAAGAAGAAGAAGAAGAAGAAGAACAAGAACAAGAACAAGAACAAGAAGAACAAGAAGAACAAGAAGAACAAGAAAAGAAGAAGAAGAAAGAGGAAGAGGAGAAGGGGGAGAAAGAGAATGAGGACAAGGAGGAGGAGGAGGAGGAGGAGGAGAAAGAGAATGAGGACAAGGAGGAGAAGAAGAAGAAGAGAAGAAGAAGAAGAGAAGAAGAAGAAGAAGAGGAGGAGGAGGAGGAGGAGGAGGAGGAGGAGGAGGAGAGGAGGAGGAGGAGGAGGAGGAGAAAGATAGAAAGATATCAGTGAGCCAAGGAATCAAGTGGGACTGATCACTGAATTCCGGGACCAAGGAAGGTTAAGAAGTTCAATATCTTGAGTTCACATACAACGATCAAAAAAAAAATTTGGAAAGAAATAAAATGTGAAAACTCTGAAGTTGAAGAGAAAGGCCCTCTGAACTGATTTCAATGGAGGATTTGGTGTCTTGGGAAGTTGACATGATTCAGAACTGGATCCTTCACGGCCCTTTCCCTACAGAATGAAGTAACAGTGGTCTGAGCCCCTGGGTTGGCTTTTTTTTTTTGCTTTTTGGTGAAACAATTGGGGTTAAGTGACTTGCCCAGCGTCACACAGCTAGTAAGTGTCAAGTGTCTGAGGTCAGATTTGAATTCAGGTCCTCCTGACTCCAAGGCCGGGGCTCTGTCCACTACGCCACCTAGCTGCCCCCTGTGTTGGCATTCTAATGATCCAGGTTGTTGGGGACTGGGCCAGCAGCCTTGGTTGACAGAAGATGAGTTAGGGTGAGGGGAAGGATGGGGGCAAGGCATGACTTACTCTCAGTCTTGGTGTCATTTCTTGTCAAGTAGTGGATGACAGACTGGAAATCTCCCTCGTGGTTCTGCATCAAATGTCTCATCTCCTCAATTAAGTTCATTCCCACAGCCTCAGTGATCCAGGCTGCCTTCACCACAATCTGATGGTTTGATTTGTAATAGGAAGCCCACTGAACGTCATCAATGATGCCAACAGTAATGAGATCCACGAGAGTTCGGGACGTGCCCACTGCAGTGTGTTTCATCTCATGTTTGTGGTGGGCTGAATGGCAAGACAGGAAAAAGAGACATGAGGGGTCCGATGTGAAGGGGCCTCTCGGAAGCTTAGGATCTCCTCATAGCCGTCCACCTCCCACTGCTGCTTTTCAGCATTTATATATGCAGTCAGGGTTTCGGAGCAGGCTCAGATCGCATGAAGGAGGGACCCTTTGTCTTGGAGATGTTCTGTATTTCCATATCACATGAATGAGAGAAGCTTCCTTTGAGGGAATGTGCAGCCAGAACAGTTTCTGTTGTTCAGACTGACAGCCTGGGATACTCTCACTCTTCTTGCTGCAAAGTTTTTGCTGCTGAGCATCCAGAGATCGTGAAGGTTCACCCACACTATGGGCGCAATGAACTAAACTGATGAAGGCTGGAGCCCTCCTCTCTCCTTTTAGGACCCATGGCCCTGATAAGTGGCCTTAGAGTTACTATTTTTTCTGTTCCTCTCTGACTGAGTTACAAGAGGTAGAATTTCACCATTGATTGCAACAACACAAGTTAAAACAATTCTGAGGTACTACCTCTTACCTATTAGATTGACTAATAGGACAGAAAAGGAAAATGACAAATGTTGGAGGGAATGTAGGAAAAATGATACATTAATGCATTGTTGATAGAGTTGTGAAATGATTCCACCATTCTATAGAGCTATTTAGAACTATGCCCAAATGGCTATAAAACCATGCATACCCTTTGACCACTACTAGATCTGTATTCCAAAAGAGATAAGAAACAAAAATGAAAAGGATGTATGTGTACCAAAATAGTCATAGCAGCTGTGTTCTGGTGACAAATAATTGGAAATTGAGGGGATGCACATCATTTGGGAAGTGGCTGAACAAATTGTGGTATGTGATTATGATGGAACACCATTGTGCTATAAGAAGTGGATTATCAGGATGCTCTCAGAAAAGCTTGGACTTACATGAGCTGATGCAAAGTGAAATGCTCTGTCTATAAAGAACTGTGAATGACTTCACTATTCTGAGCAATATAGAGATCCAAGACAACTCTGAAGGACTTATAATGAAAAATGCTGTCCTTAGCCAGCACTGATGGTGTCAATACAAACTGAAGCATATTTTTTTTTATTTTTTGGTCTATATTTTCTTTCTTAATGTGATTTTGATGGAAATGTTTTGCATGACTGCATATGTAAAACCTATATCAAATTGGTTGCCTTCTCAATGAAGAGTGGTGGGAAGGAAGGAAGGGAGAGAATTTGGGACCCAAACTTTTGAAAACAAATGTTGAGAATTGTTTTACATGTAACAGGGGGGAAATAAAATAATAAAGAGGTAGAATTGTCACCTACTAGACTCAGCTTCTCCCTGGCTTATCTGAAGCCCCAATGAAATACATCCCTGCTTCAGTCTGCTCTGTTCAAACATTGGAGACTTCTTTGGGTCAAAAAAAAAGTAGTGATTTAGGGGCAGTTAGGTGGCATAGTGGATAGAGCACCAACCCTGAAGTCAAGAGGACCTCAGTTGAAATCCGGCCTTAGACCAAACACTTGACACTTACTAGCTGTGTGACCCGAGGCAAGTCACTTAACCCCAATTGCCTTAAAAAAAAAAAGTACCTATGAGTTCATCAGCATAGGAACTATCTGTAAAATAGCTCCTGATGCACCTGCTCTGCCCCTTATGGTGGGGGAGTTCCCTGGGACACTGGGAGGTTCAATGACTTGCCCATTGTCACACAGCTAATATGTATCAGAGGTGGCACTGAAGGCCAGGGCTTTCTGATTCACAGGCCAGCTCCCTATCACTATTCCCTACTGTCTTTCATAAAGGACACATATCACTTTTTAAAAAAACATACTTGTGTATACAGAGACAATGTTGTAAGATAACAACCAATGGCATTTATTACTGTAGACCCAACCCTCAAGTGGGTACATTGGTACAGCCTCATTTTCTCCTTCCTGTCTCTTTGGTCAGGCTCTCAAAGGGGTTGTTTTGGTCCTTCCTCTTCCCCTTTTAAGGTATGACAGCCTGGACAGCTCCCATCCTGCCTTTCTCCCCTAGGCATGAGTCAAGTCCATGTCAGGAGATCTTTGAAATTTAAGCACATTAAAGCAAGCTGTAGAACTCCCATTTCTCCATTATTTACACTGCCCTGACTGATGCAGCCACTGTCCTTCATTGATCCCTGCTAATTCTCATGGAGAAGTGGACAAAAGCCAGGAATTTGTCTTGAAAGGCACAACCTCTGTCTTAGGTAAAATTTCCCTTTCTCTGAAGACATTTCTCTGATTGACTCAGATTGGTTGGAGTCACTTGAATTTTATCTCCAGGAAACAAGATAATAGTTCTGTCCAGTTGCTCCAAGTTATATCCTTGTTTCTCTGTGCCTGTATATTCCCTCTGTCTATATCAGGTCTCCCCATCAGACTAAGAGTTCCTTAAGGTCATGATCAATGTCTCCTCTTTCAGATGGGTGCTTTCGCTTCCCAGAAAGCTGACAACAGACAGTGTCTCCCCCAAAATAGGCCAGGGCATGAGGTCATTATTTGTGTTTCTCACATCAGACCAAGCTTTCCATATGAAACCCAGACCTCTACATCCCCCTTCCCCCATTTGCCCAGACTCACCTGTCTGGATCTCTCTCAGAGCTAGCAGCACCACAACAAGTAGCCAGGATGAGAATGACCCTCTCCCCCTTCTCCAGTTCATCATGCTGCTCTGTATGTATCTGTTAGAGGCCTCTGAATCACACCACTTAGGAGAACTACCAGTCCATAAGCTCCCTCTGCCTAACGTCTCTTATGCAGGAAAAGAAGCCCATTTATACCCAAGGCCTTCCTTGCTTTCATATTGGCTCTGCCAGGTCCCTGCCCTCCTCCCCCTGCCTGGTAGCGGTAAAAGTGGAAGTGAAATGGAGCCTGTGGTGAGAGCAGGAAACCCTTGCCTGTCATCACTTTCAGGTGTTGTTGGGAGCCACAAAGTGGGGACCCACTGTGCCATGGGCACAGCTGGCATTTGTAACTGTTAGTTAAATTAAAAACATGTTAAATGTTTTTAATAGAGTGCTGGACTTGGAGTCTGGAAGACCTGAGTTCAAATTTTGCCTTAGACACTCCCTAGCAGCTCCCTGACATCTCTGTTTCCTTAACTGTAAAATGTGGATAGTTGTCACACCAGCCTCATAAGGCTATGGTGTTAAAATGAGTTAATATACTTAAAGTACTTTGCAAACCTTAAAGTTTATATAAATAATTATTATCATTATTATTATTATTTCTGATCACAGAGATCATGGAGTGAGTCCCCAGTCAAGTGGGAGAGATGATCCTCTCCTCAGGGAGTCCCTGTTCTAATGGGGAAACATAGTGCCTACCCCTTGTCATCCTTCGGTCTGAGAAGAGAGGCAAAGGATCTGCCTTCATGGAATCCCCCATCTGAGGGGCCAAACAGTTGTTGCCTTCAGGAAATCTTCAGACTGAAAGCAGCAGCAGTTGTAGATCATGACATCACTGATAAACGTTTCCTTGAAAGCTACTTCTGAGTTCCCTGGGTTCATTTCTAAAATTGAATCATGCTTGCCAGCTCACTGTGAGTCTGGCTTCTCCTCTCAAAGGATGTCCCATCCTACCTCACCCCTGTGGTTGAGCCTGAGTCCCCTCTGGCCTTGGATAAGGTGGTTTGGGGCTCATCCCTGGGCATCAATCATCACAATTCAGCTCATTCCAGAAGCTATAGTTCTGCCACAAAATTTTCCCTTGTCTCTCTATTCCCTTTCTTTACAATGACCTTCCACTGTCTCCCCCTGGACATTGTGGCATCAGCTCAAGCCCAGCTCAATAAGCAAATATAGTACGTGGTCCATCTTCCAGCTGGCTATACCCACAAGATGCACTCCTGTGATTATTTCCTATACACATTGAAAAGTATACATCCAGTTTTGGAGCCCTAAAGAGTAGGGATGTTTCTTATGGTTTAGGAGGATAACCAGTATTGGATTTAATTGTTTTAATTTTTCAGGAGATGAAAATGCTTAATATATTGTGTGTCTACCCACATTATTCCCTTGCTGTATTTATTTAGTGATTTTTTTGAACTGAAGTATATAACTTCAAATTGATCTCATTGTATTGATCTAACATTCTAGCCTATTAAGACCTGTTTGGACCCTGACCATAGAATCCAAAGTAGTAGCTGTCCCTTTCAGCTTCATGTCACCTGAAAATCTGATAACTATGCCATCCAAGTCATTGATAAAAAATATATATATATATATATGTAATTGCCTTCAGGTTGTCAAATTTGGGAAGCCGTACTAACACACTGTTTCACGTGTTGGGCCATCAGGTCAAACAAATGATAAACTTTGACTTACTTCAGCTACTCTTTCAAAATGCATTTATTTGATGCCTAGAGACGAAGTGTTGTGGTATAAAATAGAAGGAGAGCAAGGTGATCGGTTTGTAAAGTACCTGCAAGGGACTTAGAAAGGTAAGAAGGGAGCAGGTTGGGAAGGGCTTTGAATCCTGAAGAGTACTTTCTATCCAGTCCTAGAAATAATACAGAGCCACTGGAGTCTATTGAGTAAGGAGGTAATGTGGTCAGACATGCACTTTAGCAAAATCACGTTCACAGCTGAGCAGAGGCTGGAATGGAATGAGGAGAGACTTGAGGAAGGAACACCAATTGAAAGGCTATTGTGGTAAAAGGGGCTAATGACTGTGTAAGTAGAAAAAAGGGATATATATGCGAGAGGCTGTGAAAGTAGAAAATACAAGATTTGGCAATGGATTAGATATATAGAGTGAAGATGAAGAATTGAGGATGATATTGATGGTAGAGCATAACACTAAGTCCTGGGGAGCAAGGGATAGTAAATCAGGCTTTGTGACAACATCGAATTCTCTCCTTGGTCTTCCTGGAAGAGTGATTCTTCCTCTTTAGGGTCTCTCTCTCACACTGCCTCCCAACCTGTGGTCTGGATCTCTGCCAGTCACCCCGCAGACATATGACATCATTCACCTCCCTAACTTTGACTGGCATTCAGATGACCACACATAGTGAGACATGGGAAAACCCCCCACCTCAACCTCAGCATGTTTTATCTGGCTTGAAAGGTGGCCAGAGTTCCAGAGACCACACAGAATACTGGGCTATAAATGGAAGACAAGACTGAAAATGCTTGAAAATAGGGACTATTTTTCCCATAGAAACTTCCATGCTTCCCCTTCCCCTATTATCCTGGTGAAACTTCACTCTTTTGGTATGTAACTCCAGGCTTCTGCTCACTGTTATCTTTTCTGAGGCTCTGACATTGTGAATTCTCAGAAATCATCAGATTATCCCTGCTGACAGGAAGCTGACTTGTCTAAGAACCTCAGCAGCGACTAACAGAACAGCTGAAGCAGCTTGTGCAGATCTGTACTGCCATACTGTCAAGGGAGTATGTTTGTACAGGCATCTAAAAGCTAGAATATGCAGAATTACACAGGAGCGGACAATCCTGAGGTGAAGACAAACTGGGACACCAGTGAAGGATGTTAAAGGAGGCAGTGCAGGGCAAAAGCTGGCCTGATAATGAGGGAAGAAAGTTGGGTCAAGCTAAAATACATGAAGCTGCCATTCTCCAGGAGCCCTATGGCCAGCACAGAGCCAGGCATATCTACAAGTGGGTGGACATGGGATAAACAGGAGCCACAAAGCAGCCCTAAGGCAAAAGCTTGGTAGCCTAAAGATCTCCACAGATTTACATGTTTACTCCTGTGTTCTGTTCCCACTTACTCATAATCCAGATAAGCTTTAGCACCAGTGTGCTAGTAACCTCTGCAAGCCTACAGTGAAATAGCTGCCTAAAGGGTCTTCTTGCATCCATCCCCTCTTCTCAGTCCATCCTCCAAGGCTGCCAAAGTGATCGTCTTAAAATTCTGGGCTATCTCACAATCCAACTCAAGAAACTTCAATGGCACCCTATGACCTCTAGGATAGCGTTCAAACTCATCCAACATTCAAAGTCCTTTCCAATCTGTCTCTAGTCTATCTTTCTGGGCTCATTTGCACATTCAGGCCACTACAGGTTCAGGGAGGCCATGATCAAAGTCAAGGAAGCAGATGTTACTAGCAGGGTTGAAATATATGCCACATCTTATTCAATTTCCCTACACACAGTCTGCACTCAAATCTAATTAATCAATTCATCAGTGATGTAGGCAATGTCACAATTTTCAAAAAGGCAACATTTATAGGTCTTCAACCTGGATATGATCCTCTGAGCTTAATTTTGTTTTCTTGAAAATTTCTAGAATGAACCATTAAAGGGATGATTTATAAGCTCTTGGAAGGAAAATGGTGATACTCCAATACAGCGTGGATTCCTCAAGAACAGGTCATCCCATAATAATCTCATTTCCTTTTTCCTCAAGCTTACTGGGCTGGTAGATCAGGGGAATGCCATGATGCCAAATTATTCAGTCAGGCTTTTGACAGAGGCTCTTATGCCATGTTTGTGTACAAGAAATACAAATACCAACTGAGTTATTGTATAGTCAAGTGGATTCAGAAGGGGTTGAATGATCATACCCAAAGAATTAATGACTCATTATAAATTAATGACTTTAACTAATGAATTAATTAATGACTACAGATATCTCTATAGTAGAATGGCCCAAGGTTCTGATCTTGGCAACGTTTTTATCAATGTCTTTGATAAAGACAGAGAGGACATTCTTATCACATCTTCAAATGATACGAAGTTCTAAGGGTTAAGTAATATGCTGGATAAAATTACTGGGATCCAAACTGATCTTTAACTGTGACAATGAAATGACAATAATATAATGAAACAACAATAATATGGAGAAATATGATGAAAGCTCTGTACTTGGATTAAAAAAATGAAGTACACAAGAATAGGATGTGGGAGCCATAATTAACTACAGTTGATATGTAAAAGATTGGGGGGGGGTAGAAGATTGGGAGCCATATATGAGTCAATAGGGTAATGTGGCAGCTGGGCAGCATTAAGAGAAACAACATGTAGAATGATGGAGGTGTCAGGCCTTCTATGCTTTGTTCTAGGAAGGCTGAATCCAGAGTCATATGTGTGTTATGGGTCACAATGTGGCACTTTTTTTAAAAGATAATGACCAGGATGGTGACAGCACTGCAAACCATGTTGTATGGAAGCACCAGGAAACACTTAGCCCAGGGAAGAAAAAGTTATGGCAGGACTTAATAAGCCCCTTCTGGGATTTGTAGGGTTGTCGTGTGAAAGAGAGGTTGCAGGTGTTTTGCTTCATTCAATAGTGTAAAACATGAAGTTCTACTACGAGTGGAAATCATAGGCACAAATATTTCAATTCAATAAAAGGAAATACTTCTTAATCATTAGAATTGTCCAAAATGTGAAAAGAATGGCTTTTTAGGTAATGAATCCCTCACCACTGGCTCCTTTAAAGTGGGGGCTAAGATCAGTAGAAGGGTCAAAACATAAGGCAGTGCTGGGGAGAATAAGAGGCAGCTCTGGACATTGGTCTCTGCCTGCCTGGTGTTCACTTCATGGAGTCATTCATTGGCTTTTCCCTCATGTCTACACTATCTTTATTTCTCTTGATTCCAAAATTGCTTTCTAGCATCTGTGTATTTGACAGTGTTCTGGGATCTGTACCCAGTCAAGACAGGCCCAGGTGCAGTCAGAGTGATGGACCTCAGGCTCACCCATAGCAAATATTTCAGGCTGGAACTATTCCTATTTGCTAAGAAACACTCCCTGTACCCCAGTGGCTCCCATCTGACATTGGCAGCACCCTGCGTACTGGACCAAAGGGAGCATCTTTAACACCTCTCTGTCTTTAA